AGTTTTTTGGTTCTACTTTAGGTGTAAAGGAGGTATACAATGACATAAAATGGCTGCGCGCCGCTAAGGAAGCATCAAGACTGAAAAGTTTATCATAGTAATCCCTGAACAACTGCTTTTTGTTTGTTTTGAGGGTGTGGCTACTAAGATTATTCCAAAGCTGTTCATGTCCAATAAATTTAAACATCTGCCTAATCTGTGCAACCCAGTTGTATTTTATATCTGATGCATCGATCAAACGAAGTTGTTGTTCGAAGCATATCTTAGGGTACCTATCACTGCTCATACTCAGAACCTTCTCTAGCCAGTTGAGGGTCATTTTGAATACATTGTATGCGTATTTTACTCTTCCAGTATCAAGTCGTATAGCACAGTCAGGGGTGTTGATGGGCACTAAAAGGATTCTTTTAAGAAAAGTGATTTGCACTCTTTCTAGTATTTCTAAATATCTCAAACTCCATACTGGTGCACAATTAGACAAAGTACTGAGGGCCAGAGACTCAAAGATTTTGATTCGGGGATACCATGTGTCAATTTTAGCCCTGGTCATTATAGGTAATATTGATCCGATGGCCTGCTTAGCTTTTTCAGCCGTAGAAATAGCCATTTCATGGAATAGACAGGAGCTTGTGAAAATAACTCCTAAATAGGTGTACTTATTTGTGATACTCAAAGGACGCTTATTGAATTTGAATGGGTAAATATTGTTCTGAAATCCTCCCCGGGAAAATTGCATTATTTTTGTTTTATTCATATTGACATCAAGGTTTTTCAGGGCAGTATATTCCTCCAGTATCCTGAGCTTCTTCACCACATCTATTTCTGAGTTTGCCAGAATGACCATATCATCGGCATAGAGAAGCGCCAAGACATCCTGTTTATCATCAATATTCACACCTTGAGCTCCTTGTGTGTAAAAAAAAATCTTCAATATCTGATATGAAAAGTGAAAATAGGAGAGGACTCAAAGATTCTCCCTGTAGCACACCTGTAGTTACATCAAAAGGATTGGAGAGTCCGTCAGATGATTTGATTTTTAAAGATGCCTTTGAATATAAACTTATTATTACTTTTAACATTTTCGCAGATACTCCCAAGTCGAATAATTTATCCCATAAAAGCTGATGTACTATTGAATCAAAAGCTCGACGAAAATCTACAAATATAGCGAAAAGTTTCCGTTTCCTATGTCTAATATGTAAATGTATAAGGGAACTCAAAGTGTGTACATTGTCGATACAACCTCGGCCAGGCCTAAAACCTGCCTGACATTCAGGCAAAATTTTGCAGTCGTCTGCCCACAAAGAGAGCCTATCCAAAAGAATATGTGTGAATAGTTTTGCACAACAATTGATTAGAGCTATACCCCTGAAATTCGCTGGCTCTTCTGCTGGCCCGCCTTTGTGGAGCATAGTTAACAAAATATCAGACCATGCATCGGGAGTGGAACCACATTCAAATATTTTATTAAAAAGGACAGTTAAGTAGAGTATCCAATTCTGAGGAAGATATTTGAGAAATTCATAAGTAATATGATCACTTCCTGGTGACTTGTTATTCTTACAATTAATGAGAACACCGTGAATCTCTTCAGATGTAATAGGTTCATCAAGGTATGGGTGACTGACATAAAAATAAACTACATCTTGATTCATTCTTGGTGGATAGATGTTTCTGTAAAAAACTTCCCATACTTGAGATGGAAGAGTTTTTTGTCTGGAGTAACCTCGTAATTGTTTAACGGTGAGCCAGAAATCCTTAGGGTTTGATGAGTTACTCAATTTATTGATAATATCTGCATTATGATTCTGTTTTTTAGTTGCAATCAATTTTTTGTATTCTTTCTTAGTTTCAATGTAACGTTGTTTGGAGGTTTCAGAGAAAGCATCTTGTCTAGCTGTTTTTAAAGTAATCCCAAGTTGTTTTTTAGTGTCAATGCAAGTTTTATCAAACCAAGGTTTGTTTCTGCTCATTTTATTATTTCCTGGTTTATTATTCATTATTTTCTTCAGTCCTAGATCATTAGCAATATCGTATACAGCTTCGCAAAAGTTTATATACAACTCGTTAGCATCAGATATAAAACCAACTCTGTTAGAATTGCGCATAGCCATTTTATAATCTATTGCACTTTCAGGTTTCCAAGTGAGCATTTTAGTGTTAGAAACATTATCTACATAAGAAGTTTTAGGCAGGATATTTGTATTGATGTTAAGAGATATGTTTATTGGGAAATGGTCAGATAAGAAGTCATCTTCGCCTACAAAAAAATTACTCACTTCTGTTAAATGAATGTTACTTACCCAAACAAGATCCACTACACTCTTACCCTGTTTACTCACATACGTGAATTTGGCTGGCCTGTCAAGTGAGGTACGTCCATTGAGAAGTGAAAACGAATTATTGCACATAAATTCAATGAGGGCTCGGCCACGAGAATTTGATATTAGGTCTAAGCTGAGCCTGTCTTCAAATAAATTAGAATTTTCGACAACTTCACTAGGCACAGAGCCCAAATTGGAGACACGACAGTTGAAGTCACCACCTATTATGATAATCGCATTTACATACTTTTCTGTTATTTCTGTTAAAGTCATCTGAAAAGAATCTAGAATCAATTCAATATTTATACTTGGTTTCAAGTATATACTACAGAAGATGATATCGTGGCCATCAAAAGAGAAATGACAAATTATCCAGTTGGTCGATTTATCTAAGATATTGAGCTTGAATTGGAACGCATTGGAGCTGTTAATTGGAACGCAACAGCGAATCGTGCAGGACTATCCCCAGCCGATGCTCCGAAACTTCACAATATTTAATTCGTAAATAAAATATTGAAAAAAGTTCCTTGCTCGCGCTGGGAATCGAACCCACTACCTTGCGGTCGTGAGACACATTAAAATTATTTATTCATCTTCAATTCTTTCACAATACAACACATATTATCACACACATTTCTATTTATGTTAGCACATCTATATGTGTGCCTGAATATCCCTCCGCTTGGCGCAGAGGTGGCTGGTGTTGGCCAGGGAATGTGAGTGGGTATGCGAGGTGTTCGTCACAGGTACCTATCTCCTAGGGCTAGGCCCTTTATATAGGTAATCTCGCTGAGGGTACCCAAGAGGGTGGGGGAGCTGTTCAGTCGCGATCAATGTGGGTGGGTTAGCTTGTTTATGGAGGAAAAGTAAAAAAATCGGCAAAACCATAAAAAACCTCCTTCTTGTTCTGCTCGGGCAGCTGTACCACACTTTCGTGAGGCACATCTGCCCGAGTTCAGTGATCGGTAGTGATTTCTCACGCCCATGTCACTTTTTTATTTTCCTGCTTGAGAGATAGTCTTGTCTAGACCCCCCGGCGTCTCGGGTATTCCCGAGAATCCGGGAGGGATCCCAACTATAGATCACCAGGTTCTCTAAACACATCGGTTGATGCATATATCAGCCCGTGTTTCTTGCGTATGTTATGGTGTTGGCGTAGTGTGGTGATGTTCCAGGTAAGGTCACTTCCAGCGATGTGGTATTTGTAGAATTTGTTTGATATTTTAAGAATGAATTCGTTGATTCTTGGCAAATTACCACATCTTTCGTGGAGGTCTGCCACTCGAGAGTATCTATCACCATTGGTGATAATACGAAGTACTTTGTTCTGCAGCACCTGTAGCCTATTCATAAGAGTAGGTGAGATGCTGCAGAACACAGGACACGCGTACGTCATCACAGGCCTGATGACCTGCTTGTACACCAGGACCTTGTTCTCCTGCGAGAGTGCAGAGGTCCTGGATAACAAGGGGTACATCTTCTTTATGGCTGCTTGTGTTTTTTGAATCAGGTAGTTGATATTGGGCCTGAATGTCATACGAGTGTCCAGTTTAACCCCCAGGTATTTCACAGGGACCGTGTCCCTCACCTCGACACCTTTGACGGTCAAAGGTCTGTTCAGCTTCGATTCCTTGAATTTCTCGTCGTGAGACGGACGCTCTTCCACTGCGCCAATCCCGGCTTAACATTTGTCCTGACCCGCTTTGTTTCGAAATAAAGGGCATCGATGTTTTTATATAAAATCGACTCGACTCGATATTTATTCGTCATTAAACCTCAGTGATATAATTCATGGAGATACAGCTTCTTCTGGTGTGATCAGAATGATGATGATGATAATGATGACAATAAAGATTTGAAACCTTTCAAAGGGTACTGGTCGGTATATCAACCAAGCTCGAAATTCAATCGAATTGGAAAGATACTGGTCTGAAGATTCCTATATTGTTTGGTGCAAATGGCCAGTGGTTGAAAATTGGGCCAGTTACTGAGTGGACCTGCGAATGGATGATTGTTCGTTTAGTGGTTCCTGATCTATTTACTACATGTATATAGTATAGTTTTGTTTACCACCATAGGTCAATAAATTATATAACACTATCAAAGTGATTCTTCTTGCACAGAATTATGTTATTGTTCAAGCGGCATGGAAAGTGAATTTTCTTTGACATTCAACAGGCAGAAAAATTGTAGCCGAGGCAGGAAAAGTTTGTTGCTTTGCAACGTTTCGAGTAATCTGAAAGTGATTGGTTATCAAAATTGACACTGACAATGGGTGAACACAAAATGATGGAGTTTCCAATAAAAAATTACATGAAATTGGTTTCATAATATTTGAAGAAGAATTTATATGTTTCACACGGCAGCAAATGTAGATTAACTGCCTTGGCTGAATTCCTTGCCTAGCTACTACTTTCCTGCCTAGTAAAACAGATAAATATTTTCTCCAAGTGGCATAGAAAGTGGATTTTCTCTGACACTCAACAGGCAGGAAAGATGTACTTTGTTGCTATGTAACGGTTCAAGTAATTTGAATGGAATTGCTAATCAGAATTGACACTGAGATTGGGTGAACACAGAAAATTAAATAACTATAATTTCACCAGATGACATTTTACGTGACTTCAATACAATCTACCTATTTATAATTGAAGTTGTGATACACATGATACATACTTGGTTTCAACTTGACGAAATCTTCTTTGTCAATACGAACATCTTCAAATTTGATTCGTCCGTAGCTCAGAATCATTCTGATGGGTTCAGCTCTACCAGTGAAATCAAAATAATGTACTTTGAATTCCGGCATTCTTCTGTAGGATTCTGAAAAGAGGAACAAAAAATTATAATATCAAACCTTCAAAAAGGCTCGCGAGAGAGATCCTGTCACTTGATAGAAGGGATCTCGATCAAGATGGTAGTTGGGCTCTTAACTGGGCACAACCACTTCAACAGGCACCTAGAACTCATAGGGATCAAAGATGATCACATCTGCAGATGGTGCCTGAAGGATGATGAAACATCATCACACATACTCACTGAATGCCCCGCGCTGGTGCATCAGAGGAAAACTGCCCTTGGGAGCATTGTACTGCACCCGAAGGATGTGAAAGCGACTCAGCTGAGGAAGCTGCTGAATTTCGTCAAAGAAATAGGCATGCCCAGCTGATTCACAGGACAAGTGGGCGCACAATGGGCCCGACTGAAGAGGCCTGAGTGCAGGGGTCTACGCACCCGCCCACCTGTGCAGAGAAGAAGAAGAAGAAGAAGAAGAACATCAAACATCAAGGGACAGGAATGCTAGATTTTTTTCAAGTTGAGATTTGTAGCTGAGGTGCATATACTATTTTTTTACGCTGTCGCAAACACATAAATTTAGGAAGAATAGAAATCTGGTTAAAGCGTTTCGTCATAATTAGTAGTAGTATAGTTTGTGGAATTCGTGTCTTGACAATTAACAAGCATTTTGTTGACAACCCATGGTGACAACAAATATCAAATTGAAATTTATGAAAACAGCTTTGGAAATGGTTAACGGTTATGGAACAAGAAATCGAGAACAAACTATCGATACTGCTTCTAAAGTGATTCTCAACATGCTACCAGTGAGATCTAGAAATCTGTATGATGCAGCTTATACTCGTTTCAGAGAAGGGTGTTTCGAAAAGAAAGCGCAGAGCAATGCGGAAAATGTGAAGTTGGTGTGAACTCCCTAGGGAGAAAATATGTCACTTTATCTCCCTAGGAAATGATACGAAACTTCTGCCCCTCTTTCACCACCAGAGAAACTAACTTCTACTCGCGCCGGCGTAAAAAGGAATGTTAACATTTTCATCTACTCACTGCATCAAAAGTAAGCGTTTGCTTCCTCATTTAAGGACACAAACCTGTCAATTCATTTCCACGGGAGGAAGAAAATATTACCTACCATGGGAAGTTTAATAAATTGGCTTTAGTTTGCTTCCATGGTAGAGACATGAAACGTATATGAGATCTGTGCTTCCCAATTACCCAATCAGTGTCTCCTTCACTACTATAAAGCAAATAACAATTTTATTTTTGTATACTCCCAGGTAACACAGTACTCTCCGCGATATCTCTAAGTAGTTATCTTCAGGATCAAAATGCGAAATCCTTCTGCGAGGTATCAAATATCTCTATAGGCTGTCACCATGGGAAATACTCTCTGGAGTCGTCCGAAAGGAATCGCGGAGATCTCGCCTCAGATTTGATATATTCCTCATTATTGCGAATCCTTGAGGTTATCTAGGTTATCTATAACAGGAAATGAATAGGCATTTCTTTCTGCGAGCACCCAAGGATATCCTGGACGTAACAAGATCGAGAATTTCCCATTGCGAGCTCCTAAAGTAATCACAAACATAACCTGAATAATTAATGAATATTCCTACAAAAATATTGAGTTGTTTTTTTCAATAGCCTTTATAATTCGAATGGGTGTCCCAAGTTATCGTTTACAGGCAATATCTCGCCTATTTGTCAAGATATCAAAAGCATTAAAAAACTGCATTAAATGGCATTAAATAACCTTCCTAATGGCTTATGAAGAATGTGATATATTTGGCAGCCCCCGGATGGTAGATACTGATCTAGTAGCATATTGTCTCTGAAAATTGCGTGTCAATCTATTTGGAATACAACGATATAGCACATACTTGGTGTTTTGTTCTTGATAACAACAAAAACATGAACATTTTGTGACTTTTTTACGTTACTCAAATGACAAATTGCTTTCACCCATGTGTTCAAGTTCACGAATAAGAAGTATGGATTGCATTTTTGTTTCAAAATATTAATGACAGATATTCCATTTTGAACTGCAGAACATCAATCATTGCAGACGGTACCTACCTAGTGTAATAATTAATCCAATTTCATTGTGGAACATTTTTACGAACATGGGAGGAGGCAATTTTCAATCGATGTAACGTAAATGAGGTCAAAGAATTGTATTGTTAATGTTGTTATTAATGAACAAAATACAAAGTACCGATGTGCTATCGTTCATTCCCGAAATAGGATGATTGGCAATTTTCAATGACAATATACAGGGAGTCCATTAAATGAAAATTGAGGAGTTGCTACCAGTTGGCTGTCCAATCTTATACACTTTTTTTGAGTCATAAAGGAAGTTCTCTGATGTCATTTTTGAAGCATTTTTACTATTTTTTGTTCATCTTGTCGAGTAAGCAAGTTTTTGCCGGTACCTTTACGATAACTTGGGACACCCAGTATTAACATGAAATGGGAGCCATTAATCTATGATGATAATAATTGTATACTGGATACTAGATTTTTTTCTCGATTATTTCAAATTTTGCACTGAATTAATGATAATTAATTATCTGCTCTGACGAAAAAGACAAAAATGTTCTAATTCAGGTGCGATCGAGAATCAAATATCTACCTCAAATTCGTGGGTAGATATCGGACGACCTTTTTTTTAAAAGGATACCCGGCCAACTCCTCGGAGATTATTTCAAGTGATAAAGTTTACTTGATCAATGTCTTGCTATAGGATAATATATAATTAAAGCTCATTACGTTGATCTAACTCTAAGTTTGGTAACTCAATCTTTTTCGCTGAAACAAATATCCAGTAAATTTAACTCCACCCCAAACAATATAGCTGGCGCTAGTTAGACTTCGCCGACAGGAGACTGCTGATAACCAATGACTTCTCAAAAATTGAACACCTCACCATATTAGTGGCGATCATGTGGCGATTGATGCAAATATCGCTCTTAAAGGCCTCGTTATAAGGTGATGTGCACGGATTCTTGAACAATTCATAGTTGCGAGCACTTGAAGAGTTCGCTATTAGTAATTGATGCGAATTTCCCAAAGTTCTCTTCACAAGGCGATGCGTGCGAAAATCTCAAACAGCTCGTAGTCGCGAGCACTTAAAGACCTCGACAGAAGCAATTGATGCGAATCTCCCAATGTCCTCGTCACAAAGCAATGTATGCGAATTTCTCAAACAGCTCATGATTGCGAGCACTTTCAGTTATCGCCAGTGGCGATGGAAGCGTATATCTCAAAGTGCGCGCCTGAGGGCATTGTATGAGAATTTCTGCGTGCGATATCTTCAAGACCTCGCTGAGCTCAGCCTAGGTGGCGCGGTGGCGGACATTTCTCTCTCTAAGAAGTTACAAAAGGCATCACAATTTCCTAAAAGGATTTCTTCAAGATATCCTTAGGACCTCTTTGTGCTGGCTGGGTCCAATGATCGCATACACTTCCTCATATTTCAAACTCACTCAATCGAAACTTTGCAATTACAAAGATGCAATCACGTAATGAAGAATTTCAATGTGACAGAAGAGTCAACTGTCAAATACTATCTATGACCTTAGATCATGTAACACATTGATTTGGTCTTGAGAGAAAGACCTCTTGAAACAAAATGTTGAGAACGACGCTCTTAAATGATTATATGCGTTCGTGGATGAAATCATATATACAGGGTTGCCCACGGTCGATGGTACCTTAGCTCAGACGTATACGGAAAAACGGTACATTGGAAACGATTCAAAATATTTTCAGCGATGCAGCTTTGCCACTTTTACCAGAAAGTAGCATCATCTTTGTTATTTCAAAAGGAACACCCTGTATTTTATTGCGTTTTCATATTCTTCTCGAAGAGTTGATTTCATCAATGTATCACACTTGGGGTCTAGCAGGAATTATTACAGAGATAAAGGGGGTTCAAAATCGTTGCACCAAGAAGGTGGGAACAGACCAGGCAAACATTATTGTGCAACAGTGTGTACGTGTTGCGTAGCTGTGCGCAGTTGTGCAGCTGTTGCCGAACTGATGGTTGGTGTTCGCTCCCGAGGCGATACTTCAAAGGAGATGTGGCCCAACAGTGCGCACACAGCGTCTGCCGTGTGAACGCATCTCCTTTGTCGCTCATGGTGCCTGACTGAATGAACTTGTTGAACACTGGACAAACAACGGAGAAAGCAGGCTGGTCGATGTGCCAACAGTTTGTCGAAGATGTTTTCTCCCCACGGAAACAAGTAAGCCAACAGCCAAACTGAACGAGTGAACTGTTTTATAGTTCATCTTCTGTGGTCTATGACGTGCTGACAATTTTGCTCGAGGCACTCCCCAAGCTTTGGATAAACCATACCTGCCTAGCTTGATTATTTATCACTGTCTCCGACACGTGTGGCATTCCAAACATACTACTAATGCGAAATCCATGTAAAATTCTAGGGATGGAAGAATTATGGATACATAAAAACCATCATGAAGTGAGAAATCTAATAACCTGGAAATACGCAAGAGACGATTTCAGGTGTTTTGAGTTCAAAAATTGTAGGATGATAAATTGCTGCTGCAAAAATAGTTCTTTGAATACATAAGTTCATTTAAATATATCTTCCGCTTAGGAGGAAATTGAACCCGTCTACTTTTTTGTTCTTAACGATACAGGAAGATAGCGAACATGGAAGTTGGGAGAAAAAATACTGATCGACATGTCATGGGGAAGTGGCATATATAGCACCGCATTTGCACCTCTTGGTAAAGACGCCCCTGGCTGAATGATATGATTTACTTACCAGACGATGTGATGTGTTGAACAACTGAAACTGAAAACTGAGCAGGAATGATGAGTTATTCTCATAATGATCTCATTACACACAATCCATCACATGGGCGGCGCATTAAGTATTCCAGAGTAATATCAAAATGTAAAACAATATGGGTAATATTTTTTTAGTCTTACACATTACACGATCCAAATTTCCCTAGATTTCTGACTAATATCCATGAAATATCAGCTGAATATTGCATTCGAGGTTTTCATTCAGAAAAGCAACAAAGGGTATCTTTCTTCTTCCTGTCTAATTCATTCAATTCATGTTAACATCCACATTCAAGTTGATGGCACAGGTGCTCAACACTACTTGTATGACTGTTTCTTCATCGGGAAGGATTGCTTTATTCCCTTGTTGTGTTGATGTTGAACTGGAATGAACTCTCAAGGTTTTTCTCTGCGAGATAGTTGAATTGAAATGATAGTGAATCGATATATTTCCTCGTCAAAATCAGATTCATAATAGTCAATTGATTCTCTGAATTTTTATGAAGTCGTTATCCCTGCTGTTTCTTGCTACTAACATGAGTTTTTATTCAGAAATCTTCCTTTTGTTCCAACAAAAATTAAACTATATCCCTGGATTGTTCCTCTGTCGATATAGGTGAACGAAATAAAATACACTATACAATTATCGTTTGTGTGAAGATGAACTGCAAATATCTATTCCATTCAGGCCTCACCTGGAGTTGCTCCCCAGTAGGAGGACTCTTCAATTTTTCCTCCTGAGCTCTCTTTAGGTGACATTCGCTTGTCAAAACACAACACTCAGGACCAAAGAGTGCAGATGGTGTACCTTTCTTTGCAATGCGATATGCTGCCTCAACTCCTTTGATTCCTTTATGCCTTGGTACCCACATAAGTATGCTTCGTTGTCTTTGCTCAGTTGCATAAGTGTTTCAGAGCAGTCACATATAATCTTTGATACTTTGGATACAAAAAAATTAACTTTGATGTGGAAACAAATAATTTCAGGGCTTCTAGTGCGGGTTGGGCGCAAAGATTGATGTCATGTATTTCACCTTGAAAGATAGTGAAGGAGTGACCTAAGGCTTCGAATAGCCTACATATAGGTCCATATACACCCGCGCCTACCCATTCTCTCATTTCCGAACCATCGGTGAACCAAACAAGGGACTCTCTGTCCAGCTGAGGCTCAGCGGAATCGTACCTTGAGCGACTTTCTATAACCACTTCAAAGACAGGATCAAAACTAAGCCATGTGACCAGTGACATCACCTAATATGGCCAATTCAGTGAAATTCAGTCTTCAGCCCTGAGAGCTGCAGCCCTCTTGATACAAATATGCAAGGGTAGTAGATCGAGCACAGCTACCATTGCTGTAGTAGGGCACATACGCAAAGCTCGTGTGATCCCAAGACACGCGAGTCTCAGGATTTTTTGCAGCTTAAGTTGTGCTGTATTTTCCTTACTTTTGGTTCACCACACTAGAGAAGCATATGTGACCATGGGTCTAATCACCGTGGCATAGAACCAGTAGATCATATTCGGTTTCAGACTCCACTTTCGGCATATCCAGAGATGAAAGTTCCCTGTCGACGATTTCGTTCAAGTGTTGCTTCCACGTGACTTTATTGTCTAGGATAGCTTTGCTCATATGATTTCGTTATGATATTTTGAAATTTCGTCGAAACCTGCTCCAGATCTTGGATTGTTTCAATGATAGTGTTTAGGTCCACAACTTCCGACTTTAGGAATTAACGGTATGTATTCCAATCGGTCAGTTGCAGATTCCTATATTCTGTGGTATTCGTCTCCTCTGTCTCTATATCGAATCTGTTGTGATTTTGATCCGACAATGAGGGTTTATCGGAGACGTGCCAGTTGGGAATGGTTCATAGACGGACTGGCCATGGTCGAGTCCAAGACCTCTTTCCTAATACTGTCTATAAATATTGCTTCATTTTCTTTATTGATTATATTTTTTGTTGTTGAACGAAAGGTATTCAAGTAGTAACTCACCTATTCTGTTGATGTTAGTACTCTCCTTAATGGTATGGTGCGCATCGGCGTCACCGATGATGAAAGGTTTGTTTCTTCTGCGGTAGTAGTTGTTGAGTCCTGCAACTTCTTCAGGAGGTGATTGTTCCGTTTCATCACCAGGGAAGTAAGCCGAGGTCAAAATAACCTCTTTCTCGCCTTTCTCAGTCGGCACTTCTGCTACTACAACTACCAAGTCCCTGTCAGTAAACTCTGGAATAGAAATTAATTTGGTGTTTTTTTCAATGCAGCAATGTGCTCTCTAGGAGTGTCATGTTCATTAGAGTAGATTAATCTACATATTTGGGTAATAGTTCCCTTGATTCAATTTCCATGTGTCCAAGGCTCTTGGATGAAGGATACGTTGAGCCTTTCGCGAATTTACCTCCTGAAGCAGCTTCTGCATGATGAAGGTTCATTTGCAGGCAGCCAATTTTTTTGGAGCCTTCGACTTCTCAAGGGGAAAATTGGCCCCTTCGTTTTTGAGCTTCTTGTTGCTCGATTGTGCTAGATTACTGGGCGTCATCTATGCCTTCATCTAGTGCAGACTTAAAAGTCCGCTAGGGCCTGGTGCCTTCCTCCGTGGCCGGGAGCTGATCTATAACCTTTGAGGCCGAATCCTCTGAGGTAGAAGATCCCTGCTCCATTGGAATAGACGTGGCAGCCTCCCCAGCTTCCTCGGGGGGGGTTGCTCTTCAGCCTGAGTGAAACTTGGACAAACTCGTAACTCACCCTGAAGCCTCTCTTTCGTAAGATTCCAATGGATGCATGGTCCACAGAAATTGTGATCTCAGCAGAACTTCTGTTGTTGGACCTACGACGGAGAACCCTCCACTCCGTTTGATTGAGACCATCGTTTTGGGCTTTGACGAAAACCGGGATCTGTTTCGTCGAGTCGTCCTTGCTGACTGAGAAGTATCCCACTACAATCTGGGCGCAAGGAATATCAGATTCCTTTATCACCCTCAGGGTTGTCCCTTCTCAAGGTGTTAGTTCTCCTGTTTTGTCATTTAGCCACTTCGAAGTGGCTTCATTAGCACAGGTCAGACCTAGGTAGCCTGGTTTGAAGATGGAGCCAAGGAAGGAGGGTTTTACATCTCCTTTCTTGGTCCTTATTATTTTTCCAAGAATTGCTTTCTGAAGGACATCTAGTTGCTCCGTATTCAGAAGAGCTTCCGAAAATGTTTTGCCATGATACCCACTTCAACGCTATCGGCAACTTGCCTTAATATTTGCCGTGGGAGGGGGGCACTGGATACTCCTTTATATCGTTTGCAAGTTTTGGAGGCGCATTGTCGAGAGTGCTGCCCTCTGACCTATTCCTCTTGGAGGTAGGCCTACCAGAGGGCCATGCTGCTACTGTTGGCTTTAAGGCAAGAAGATGAGCCTATTTTGGTGACTGTCCTTCTTTAACCTTCTTTTACATGCAGCTCTCGACGCTTGCTGTTCCACCTCAACTTGGAACCAGAGCCTGTTTTGTAAAGCAAGTAGAAGTGACTATATATTGCGTGGACACTACTCTAATTGAATCAAAAGATAATTGTGTCAAAAGATATTCTTTATATTCAGAAAAATACCTTATGTTCTCGAGAACAGAAACGATATAGTTTGAAAGACGATCTGAACTGTTTCGAATCGTTTGTCCTGCTGATGGTTAATATTTGTTGTTTAATCTGATATACACGAAGGTGAAATGAGTAGACCAGAGGAAGGGTACGCCTATGAGTGAAATTTTTTTATAAAGTCATCCTTGTTCCAATAACCTATCTCAGAGATAACACACCTGATTTATTATTTGCACAATACACATGCCCTGTCATTGCGAGCAACTCTTTATATGAAATTCCATGTTTACTCAGGAAATCTCATTCAGATAGTAACGATTAAGTTCGACACGTAATGTGATATGAAAAATAGAAATGAAAGACCTGATAATTCCGTTTTTGTGGCTCATTTATATTCATAAAAAGTTTGTATTATACTTATGAATTTGTAGACGTTCCATTTTTAGTTCAAAATTTGCCATCAAATTCATTCGAACGGTTTTTCACAATCGTCGAAAATAGAATAATGATGAACCCAAATCAACACATCAATATTTAGAAAAACCCGATTACGCGTCATTCGGTAACTAACATGCCATTCTTGGTATTAGCCTTGAATGCCAGCGGCATCCAAACTTTTTGAAAAAGCTGTTGATTTTCAATTTGTGACATACTCAAATAATAATAGTATAATTCCAACCTTTCAGTCATGTTTTCGAAAGGGCCACAGTTGCACTACAACACTTCTGAAAATCACTGATGACATTGTTAGAGCCTCTGATGACGGAAAATGTACTACTATGATACAGCTAGATTTATCAAAAGCATTCGACTCCATTGATTTTGAGTTATTGTAGGCCAAATTACTGTACTACAATTTCAGCGAAAAATCACTGTGTTGGTTTACAAATTACTTGCACACTAGGTCCCAAATGGTACGGCTCTTCAACTCGGACGGCAGCTATGAACTTTCTACTGGAAACCATACAAAATCAGGAGTTCCAAGGATCTATTCTAGGACCACTTTTGTTCTCTGTGTTTTCTGCTGATATTGTTAATCACATAAATCATTCTAACTATCATATGTATGCAGATGACCTAACCATATACATGTCCTTTGACTACCGTTCACACGTGGCAGCAATGGAACACATCAACAGTGATTTAGTTAGTATCAGTGATTGGGCAAACCGTAACTCATTGTTTATGAACGTTGATAAAACACAGGCTATCCTGTTTCATAAAGCAACGAATGAAACGGAAGAACTCCACATTGAATTAAATGGCATCAAAGTATCATGGACAAAAGAAGTAAAATGTTTGGGTTTATATCTGGATTCTAAACTTTCTTTCAACTGTCATATGAACAAACTTTGTCAAAAATCATATCATGCATTGAAAAGTATATTTGAATATTGAAATGTTTTACCAATGCAAACTAAACTGAGGCTAACTGAATCAATTGTCCTGTCAATTCCGAATTAAATGGATTGTGTGTATGGTCCTTTTGTATCGGTTTCCAATAAATTTC